ATATAGCATTGCAAGAGATTCATGATTTCATTTGGAAATTGTGATAAATCAGTCAAATGTTATTTAATATGTTTTAATTATAAACAACTTTTGGGGAATATGAAACACAGGAAATAAAAATAAGGAGTCACTCTCTAAGAATTCTATAAATACACACCATAAGAGAATTTTGATCAATTAACCAAGCAAATAATTACTCACTCAAACACAAGCCATACTACAATTATTCTTCTGATGTGATCCTCAGACAGACGTACAAAAAATATGTTTACATGAAAGAAAAATACACGTTTTCCAATATAATATTTCTTGTGCATATGTGGAGAATCACATCAGAATAAGTTGTTTTATTCATTGTGTCGACATAGAGTTATTGTAATTATATTACTTATGAATGCTCACTTTCGACAGGAAGTATACTGTTAGTACTTTATACCAAATTCTGGATAGAGTATTGATAGTATACTTCTTGTAGAGTGAGATACAAGTAATTTTGCTCAGTAGGTAATGAGAAATGTATATCGTTTTCCATAAGTTTTTGCTATTGTTGATTTTGTATTATTCACTGGAATTTTTAGAAAAAAGTCTAATTATGTAGATATTTGTTATTTACCTCGAATGAGATCGAAAATTGTGTAAAAAATACAAACCTTTTAATTGGGATTTTTTAATTTCAACTATAAAGATTTTCCAAATTTGTAGGATTGTTAGATTTATTATTTCTCATCGCAGCAATTATCTAAAATAACCAAAAATCGCAGATAAATATAAGATGTACTTTAGTTAAATTTGAAATTTAAAAAGTTGTTCAATTTTATCAGAGCTCCAAAATTTGAGATATAATTTATCATATTAACAACTAAGTTACGATTAATCCGCATCAACAATACTTTACACTTACAATGATAATAGTTTATTCACTAAATTATAAATTATAAGTTACAGTATATTTAATGAAATATTAATTGGTTGACTGTTGTATTAATTATGTAATATGTAACGGTTGCAAATGTAGTATTTAGTAGATGATTTACCTTAGTATTTCATATATTCAACATAAAAAGTATTGTAAAAAATGAAGACGATTAAAAACAACAAAATAAAAATAAGTTATTGAAATAAAGATTCAGCATGCATTTGCGGGCTTGAACGTTTTATAAAATTTTAATGTTATTGGATATAGTGTTAATTGTATTGGGTTGAATTGTACAATATTGATAGTTTATAGTGTGTGGTATGATGGGCCTAAATTTTATGCTCAGTGTTGTATATATCCTATTTCTGTTTTATACAGAAAGAAAAAATGAAGATCGCATATACTACCGAAAGAACCCATAATTGTGACGATGTATCTTGTTTGAGAAATTGTGATAATTCGGTATAAAGAACATGTCGTAGTTCTTGTAATCATTAAGTCAATTAACTGAGAATCGAGAAATGACATTAATAAAGAAATTTATTGTTGGTTTAGAAAGGAAAAATCAAAGATGCAAATAAATTTAAAACACGAAATTATTATGTATAATAACATGAATTATTCGTATGAGCATCGTAATCCATTAATTGCTGTTCTGGTAACTGCAAAAAAATGTATAATAAAATTTAATACCAAATATGTATTTCTTTATAATCGATATAAATAATACAAATAACAAACCTTCAACAGATGGAATTTTCTTGACGGATGTGGATATTATAAATTGGATTAAAAAAACATTTTGAATCTCTGCTTTCATTTCTGCATAACCTCTTGACAACAAAATCTTCAATATCAAACCATGAACCTTCGGTTAGCAGAGGTTCAAATAAATCATGATATTGTCGTCTAACCCGAGCATGTATTGTATGGTCCTTTACAAATGAAAGAATTTGAATATTTTGGTAGACGTCAGAATATATGTGAATTAATGTAGTTTATTAGTGATACCATAAAAGATAAATTTTACCTTCGCATCAGCAAGAACCAATTCTAATGTTACGCCCTGATGTGGTATATATTCAAACCACTTTCTCACGAGTTTCACACGGATGCACCATTCAGTTGAGCTGTTCTTCAAGTCTTCAATGTAATCAAATGGTTCCATTTTCCGATAAAATGTGAAAACTAAATAAGTTGTTAGTGTTTGTATATATATTGGAAACATATCAAGAGGGCAATAATTTAGGGTTTCAAAGATTTCCAGCCATAAATACTAAATAAAACGTCTGCCGCTTTTTGGTGTTGCCTGGTGTTTACCTGGTGATTACAATGGGCATAATATATACAATATATCAACTTCTATAATTGCATTTCTGTTCATGGTAACAATAGGTTTGATATAAGATATAGTAATCTTCCTTTAACACTCATTATAATTTATACTATTATTATCTTTCTAAACCAAAAATTAAGAACCTAAATTAAAAGTACATGTTTACACAAATTTTAGAAATTGATATAACACCATTAATAGCAAATAGTCAGCGTATGTTAATAAATATTAGGAGAAGTTTAAAAAGCATAATTATAAGTAATGTTCACAAAAATAAGATAAAAACCATAAACCGACCAAACCTCTGAAGATTCAGCAAAAAAAAAGTAAAAGGTTCAACATTATCCCCAAATATATGAGAATTGAAACAGATATAGTAGAGTTTAAGATGAAATAAAATCGGAGTTGATGTAGGATTTCACGGCCAGCTTGGATCTCTATGGATATCAGTAAATTGTAACCTGAAAAATTGAACCAATACAATTAACTAAACCACAAATACAATGTAAAATGAATAGAGGTATACTGAGAATAGTGTTATACTAATCTAGAAAATCGGAAAACTTCTTTAATATGTGGATTAAAAAGTACTTCAGACTGGTCACCAGCATTTCTGATGAAGAAGCCGCCTATAACAAAATATAATCCTATATATTAATCATTTTTTCATATGAGGATCATTAAAACATTAGGTATCATTGATGTTAATTCAGCAAAGTAAATATGACTAACCTTGAGAATCATAGAAAACGCAAAACATACTAAGAGTCAACACCGTTTCATATGTTCCAATTTCTTCCCACTTTCTCCAAAACTCCACTGCTGTTTTTCCAGTCAGCTCAACTGTAAGTTCCGTAAAGCTGTTTGAAAATATAATATACATATCATCAGTGACTGATATTCCTTAGGTCATATTGCTAATAACTTAACTACTTACTTCACGTCCCTTATTTCAATTTCCAAATTGCTCCATGGTCCATGTACCAAAGCATCAGGATCATCTTCTAAACTCTTCAAGTCACCAACAAAGATAATAACACCTATCAAGTCTGCAATAATACGTTCTATTACATAAAGTACATGGGATAACATTATACTCTAACAAATCATGATGGTTCAGAATACAAACCGACAGAGTACAGAGAGTATATCTTCTGGTTGATGATATTTTCGAAGGGGATGAAATCCATCATATGCTTAGGGTTGCGGGCCGAGATTTTGGTTACAACGGTGTGTTCATGCATGATGATGAAATGGTTGTTGATAGTATTCCTGAATGAGCCAGACGCATGGACGATTTGAAATAAGGAAACACAATTCCACTCTCCTTCCTTAAAATTTTGAGTGAGGACGGGCATGAGATCCAAATCGATTGCCGCCTCAACCTTATAACCCTAACAATAGATACCAACGATATCATAATTTTAAAAGTATAAACCTAGACTGACTAAAATAATTTGTATTAATAAAAGTTATGGTAAACTATACTTACATTCTCATCGCCAAGAATCAAGTGTGTTTCAAAGCGGCCTTTGACGACGTTGAATTCCTGCCATCGTCGAATAAATTTAACTATGATCATTGGGAGAGGAGCATTGAGGGAAAGTTTATAAATTTTGAGAAAGGCTGCCATTAATTTTTTGAAACAGGGATTTGTTTTCGCAGTTGTTGCTTTGTAGTTTAGTGTTCGACAAAAAGAGGAGATCTCTGTTGTTGGATAGAAAGAGTGGAATAAACTTAGAGTTGTTAATTTGAAAGATTGCGATTTTTGGTAATTAGTAAAGGGTAAATAACTGTTGCGTTAGTTGGGTAAGTGAGAAATAAATGCTGATTGGAAAAGCAAAGAGGTAAGTCGTATAAATGAGAATAAAGTTTTACGGTGCAGTATTTAATAGAGGATATATATGTCAACTCAAGAACTCCCAGTTTTGAGAAAGGCAATCAGAGTTATGAGCATGGAAATATATTTATATTGAGTGAAAAATTCTACATAAACAAATTCACATTATCATATTTAATATTACCCAAATAGATGAAAATTATATAAACTTCTCACTGCGAAATATATTGTTATCAGTCTTGTTTATACGATTCCAACCCTTGAACGTTATAAATGGGAAACAAAATAAAGGGAGGATCAATAAATATATACTTATTGACATTTGTTCTTCATTACAGAGTTCAAATATACATAATAAATAAGGCAAATGTAACATGACAAAGAAAATAGAATCATAAACAATACATATCAATGAAAAATTGACATAATAATTAAATTCATGTATTTGTAGCTTTAACATTGAATAAGATATAAGTCAACCATCATATTCATACCCATCGTGAAAATAGGGAAGTTCTTTGCAGAAGAAAGTCTAACACCGAAACATAAAACAGGGAAAAAAATATGTTAATTAATAACTGACGTAAATTCCCTAATAAGAACAGTATAATAGATGAAGGAAATAATTACATAAACTGAACTATCTCCGCTTCTAGCAATAGACGTGGTCCTCGAGAATGTCGGATATATAACTTTCAAATTCCACTATCCATTATAACCTCTTAATTATCTCAAAGCATGCTTGACTATATCTCAAAAAATCACATTACAAAAATACTGTATAAAACAATAGAAAGCGTTAAGGCTGGTTCAGAATGACATTGGGCCACAATAAACATGCTAATTTGATAATGTTTAGATATTGCATAAAAACCTAAAGCGTCTAAAAATCTTACTGAACACATCTCTTACACAACATTAGTTGTCTTCTTCTGCACGTTATCACTCTTATCAACAATCAAAATCTTCAAATCAGACCTAGACTTCACCCTTGATAATGCAACATATAGCTGTCCATGTGAGAATACTGGTCTAGGTAGGAATAAATCAACATTTTGAAGGGATTGAGCTTGACTTTTGTTGATTGCAAAAGCCAATGTCACAAGAAATTGTCTTCGACGCATTCTAAAAGGAAAACTCGTTTCCGGAGGTGTAACGAACATTCTAGGAATGAGAACCTTATCTCCAACCTTATCGGTTCCTGTTATGATTCTACCCTCTATAACATGGCGAGCTAAATGTGTAGGAATAGACCTAGTGCCGTTACATAGACCTCCCTTAGGATCAATGTTACGCAAACACATAACTGGTGCACCTATCTTAAGTTTCAAACAATGTTTGGGCAATCCATAAACTTTGATTCCATTCAAAAACTCTGTAGGATATGTTACCTTATTAGATGGGTCTTTGTCGCTGGGTGCAATGCTGTCAGCGCTCAGGTAGGTATGTAATTCACCTGTAAATATACATTATAGGAAAATAAGTACTTTGAGCAATGTAGTGGGATTCAATAATATATAAATAAATAAATATATATATATTAAAACCATAATTTGTATAAATAATGTGTTACATGGCAGCAATGACAACATATAATCGTTAATTTGATCAACATCTTCGTTTGTAGGACTCAAAATAGCACGATGTTGATAAAAGTCTTCAGCATGTTGACTACTTATTAAGTTTCTATACACTTCTTTAACTATAGTTTTCGTTGGATCGCCACAATCTTTGATCAATAAATCTTCTGGAATGTCAATATCCACAACGCCATTATTTGAAGTATTGACTTTACCATCACCAACATCTAATATCCATTAGAGAATGCCTTAAGTTCAGCGGCAGCGACATCACTTAGTCCAGCAAGCAACCTCATATTCTTTGTAAGTTGTAAAACTTTGCAATCATCCCATAGTGCTGAAGAATTGGTTGTTTCCATAACTGTTTCTGATCGGCCAGCATAAGAAGTTACCGGAAGTATCTGACGGAAGTCACCTCCAAAAACAACCACATTCCCACCAAATGGTTTTCTCACAGGTAATCTGATGATATCATTTAGACTTCTATCTAAGTTTTCGAAACAATACTTGCTCATCATCGGAGCCTCTTCCCAAACAATAAGGCCAGCCCTTTTCATCAAATTGGCAAGATCTGATCCAGGAGGCATATTGCATTGTGTAAAATCATCTGGATTTATTGGGATTCCGAACCTCGAATGTGCTGTTCTACCACCTTCTAACAACAGAGCAGCAATCTCACTCGATGCAGTGTTGATTACTATCTTACCTCTAGATCAAATAGCGATTGAAAGGCAACTCCAAAGAAATGTTTTACTAGTACCTCCAAAACCATATACAAAGAAAACACCACCTTTTTAGTTCATAACAGCATCCAAAATCTCTTCATAAACACATTTCTGCTCATCTTTTATCATGGCTAAAAGTCTCTCATTCTCTTTTCTTTGCTCCTCAGCATTGTAATTGAGTTCATCATGAATCAATCGGTTGCCGTTTTACTCCATGAAATTATCTGGTTTTGGCATACAGTTCCATTTCTTTAGGGAACGTCCTCTGCTTTCTATAAGATACATTTCAAAATAAATGAATACATTTTCGCATATAATCTATAAAATATGTTCATATATGTCACATTTCGATGAATAACTTACGAACATAAAATTAATGTATGTATTCATAATTACATGTATTCTTTATCTACACTTTCTTCATTATACATACCTAATTATAATTACTTAGAATTTATAACTGCAAATATGAGCCAATTGTAAGACACAATCTAATTCTTATACTAATAGCATATCATTCGGCCCAAATTTAGTAACACTGTATCCATACACTCTGTCAATCACTACAAGAAAAACATCATTTTACAACGGGCAAAATGGTCGTTATTTCGTCGTAATAGCCCTATTACGACGGACTACCGACGATTTCAAAATTATCGTAAACTCATCTTCGTAATAGACAAATCGTCGTAAAATCGTCGTATAATTTACGACGGTTACGTTTCGTCGTAACATCGAGGGAAAAATATCGTCGTAAATGCGTCGTACAATTTACGACGATTTTATATCGAATTGCGTCGACTTGGTCTTCGCCTGGACCGTCGTTAAGTGGTCGTTAATAATCGACGTAAGATCGTCGTAAAATATACGACGCAAAAATCGTCGTAAATCAATCGTAAATTATTTAATCATTTCGTCGTAAAAACGTCGTAAAACACGGACGTATAATCGTCGTATTTGTGGTCATACATTTTGGTCGTAACTTCGTCGTACTATTTACGACAAATGTACGACGCTTTTATAAAATAATAATAATTATATTACGACGATTATACGACGTTTAATATAATTGAAAATTAAAAAAAAAAATTAATTCGAATTAAAATTTAAATTAAAAAAATAATTTACAATTTAAAATTTAATTAAAATTAAAATTAAAATTAATTGTAGTATTTACAAAAAAACCCTACAGCTCTAAATCTAAATCTACATCAATATCGTCGATCCCGTCACCGGCCTGCTCCCCATCGTCCTCAACGTGTTCTTTGCCGGGTCTTCGGTTAAATGCTTCCGCCGGCGCAAGATCTCCGGTTCTAGGAGGATCAACCCCGAGAGACCGGAACATCTCCTAGTCCGTCTGCACCGGTGGTTGCCTCCTAGAAGATGACCCGATAGACGATCCGACAACCCCATCATCCCGCAGCCTGTCCAACTGCGCCATCAACACCGGGTTGTCGGCTCCCATGATCTCGAAGAGACCGTACAGCTGGTCGATCTTCGTCTCGTAGTGGGTCCGCATCTGGTCGATCTCCTGGCGGATAACCGGATCCGGGGCCCGGACGTGACCTGTCGCCGTAGCTCTCGGGGTATCACGGATGGATCCCATCCCTAATACCCGCCCCTTTTTCTTTGGGGCAACCTAAAAATTATTAAAAACATTAAGGTTAGAAATTCAATTTAAAATTAAAATTACATTAATTAAATATATTAATTGAAATTACCTCTTCGAAAATCTGGTCCATCTCCGCCACCGTCAGCGCCGGGGTCGATTGGACCGAAGATCTCCGGGAGACGTTGGACGCGCCTGCTGAGTCAGTTGCGTCTGCCGCTCCTCGATCGCCGCACAGGCGGCGTTGTAGATTTCCTCCGCCCGAGGATCCGTGAATTCGCCGTTCCGCTTCTTATGCGTCTCGGCGAAAACCTTCGTCATCGGAGGAAGTTCTCCTCCGTTTTCTTCGACCTACAAAATCAAAATGAGCAAATTTATAAGACAAATAAGGGTTAATTATTTAAAAACAAAAAAAATCAATAATTTTAATTTACTTACCATCATAAGGCGTCTTCCGGCAAAAGGAATCTGGCCGGAAGTGTGCAGGACGTTCTTCCGATTTCCCGCATCGTCAGTAGCGTTCCTGAAAAATATTTTCATTAGAATATATTATAAGAATGAAAACAGATAATGTAATTATTAAGGGAATTAACTTACCTAGATCCGGAACACTTGGCGGCAGTAGTCTGGTTGTGCGGATCCAACCAGTACTGGACAAGGACCCCCAGACTGAATTGGCCATAGGCGCCGGCTTGGCCTTGTCGCCGTCAACCTCCCACTTCCGTTTCCAGTCGGAAACGGTGTTGTTGAGGCGAAATTTGACCTTCTCCTTGAAGGCCGTCTCTACACGTCCGCGTGCGGATGTTTCCCAATGCCAGTTTTGCTAGGAACAAAAATGTTAGTAATTATTGTAAAAAGTTAAAAATTAAAATTAAAATAAAACGAAATTGTAAATTACTTACCGCAAAACACTTGAACCAAGTGTCAAGTGTGGCCTGATCCAGCTTCTTCCAGCTGGTATGGGGTTGTACGAAAAACCCCTTGATGATATCCGCAACGTTACGACCGACTGCATTGTCGTTATACAAAGAGAAAAGTAAATTAATTTCAAATAAGAATAAATATTAATTATTTTAAAAATATTTTAGAAAAAAATTTTCGTACCAAAATGTTGGGCTCGATCCGGATCGAGTTTGTTCATACTCTCACGACCCGGCTGTGCCAGAAGATCCTGTACCGTAAACTGGGCATACGGTACAGGCTGGATCGGATCAGCTGCAGGATCGGCCGGTGCGGGAGCCGCTGGTTCGGCTGGTGGTGGTGGAGGCGGTGCCGGCTGTGGAACAACGACCGGTTGGGAAACCGTCCGTTGTGTTCCCAAGGACTCCGAGATGACTGATCCGGTCGCCGTGATAGATGGGGCCGTAACCGTCAGAATCTACCAGCTGTCGGTAGTGAAACCTCTTAGCCCGAGGAGCCATACCAACGTAATCTACAAAATTTAAAAACATTTGTTACTAATTTTTCAAATATTTATTTATAAAATCTGAGCCTATCTAAATTCCGAAACCTAAATCTAAATTTCGTACCTAAATCTAAATTCCGAACCTAAATCTAAAAGAATATGTAATGAAATTATTTTTTTAAAAAAAACTTACAAGAGTATTTGGCTGGGATGGAGGGAGAGGTTTAGGAGAGTAGGGAGTTAGAGAGAGAAAGTTTACTAGAGAGAGAAGGGAGAAGAGAGGAATGAGCGACGAAAGGGAGAAAACACGCGTCCCTTATATAGATTTTGTGATCGTCGTAAAATCGTTGTAAAGTTACGACGATTTTACGACGATTCGGTTGTATATCAGTCGGTCCACTGCATGACATGACACGTGTCATGATGAGAGCGTTTGACCGTTACGACGGTTTTACGATGATTTTACCCAAAACCGTCGTAAACCCGTCGTAACGTCTAAACATTTATAACCTCGTACCTCAGATCAAGAGCCTATCCGGTGCAAACGTTACGACGGTTCCACGACGGTTTTAGAGAACTTAGTCGTAAAACCGTCGTAAAGTTACGATTATATTACGACGGTTTTACGATGTGTTTTTAAAAAGTTATTAAACCCTAAATCTTAGAAAAGGGATATTGCATAAAGAACAATGCAAAGGTTATTGTATCCTAACATATAACAAAAGGTTTACAACTTTGCATGTATGATGGATTTATGACATGAGATAGTAAATATTGAAATTCCATAATCTAATATATAACCTTTCACTTAACATTTACGAAAACATGCATGAACTTGTAAATATGTATGTTTTTTTCAAATTTTTGATTTTGATCAGATTGATAGCATTTCATATAAAATAAGATAACCAATCAAAAACATTTGTGAATACCTTACAACCAATAAGATATAAAAGATTCAAATTCTTGGATTTCAACATTACGA